AAAAAAAAAAAAAAACTGCAGCCAAAGAGTGACTGTACCACGATTTCCATAATCAAAACAAAAATAAAGCAGCTGCAACCAAACTAAATGGTTTTATAATTTCATACAGATGAAAATCCTAAAAAACTTTATCCATGTTTAAAACAACAAAACATAGCATACTTTCTTTTGGCAGGTTAAACATAGTAACCCAAAACTCCAAAATAGACAAATAAGAGAAAAGATGACATTTGTAGGTTTTTCTTGCTTCATAGTTTATAACCTAAACAGATGCCTTTATAATTTCATACAAATAAGAATTCTACATACTTTATCCACCTGTAAATGAAAAAATATATTCTGTTTTGCTTTAGAAAATGAACAAACAAACCCACCAGATGTTCAGAATACAAAGAAATAAGAAACATGATAAAATATGTTGGTTCATATTATCTGCGGCAGACCTTGTTAGTTGATAGGTAAGAACATACATAAAAATAGCCATTTGTTCACAATAGAGATAGTTTATCTCATTTACAAAACTAAAATGACCACACTGATATACATTGTCAGACCTATCCCACTTATATTATATTATATTAATAATATTAATACTACACACCACACAATTATTGGAGCAAACATCAAATCAAGACGAGCCTGTAAGAAATATTGTATGGTCTAAAATAAAATAACATTCACACACACTACACCAAAGAATAAAAAATCAAGCAAAAGGTTGCAATAATATATATTAAAAGACATATGCCTGATATTGTCAATTAAATCTAAATGTAGTACCCAATTTTATCACTGACAATGCACAATTCACTTATCCTACGGTACACCACAACAAACATATGTTCATCATAATTTAGCCATTTGTGCACTAACACCACAACAAACATTTGTTCATCACAATTCACCCATCTGTGCACTAAAAAAAAAATTCTCACATACCAAAACACAAAACACAAAACATTACCATGTAAACCCCAGAGCACTTAAATAGCAGAAATAAGAAGAAACGAACCGACTATTACCAGTAATATAGCAGTTACAACACAAAGTGAAAGTGTCAATGCAATAACAAACCGACTACAAATAATGTTTGAATAAAAAAAAGAACCTAGATAACTAAATAACTAAAAATTGAAAGTTAGGCCAAAACAATTCAACAGTTCGAAAATAATAACTCATACAAAAATAATTAATGGTTCCAAAAAATTAACTTAAACATATTGTGTTGAAAATCATCCAAACAATTCAAAAAAATAGAGCATAATTTAATGTTATCAAATGCAAACAGTTCCCCAAAATATATAAAATAGAATAATATACATAAAGTAGTTCCAATAGATAACGTTTTATGAGAAAAAAGTGACAATTATTAATGGCGAATGACGAAGCAAGGCGATTTATCCATGGACTCGGGCATGAGGCGAGGCCTTAAAGAGCCTGTGTGTTGGCGCGTACATATTGCCTTTGGCAAGAAGAAAAGTGGTCACAATGCCCGTCTCGGAGATAGCGCCACCGAGGCGACTTTACACCCGCCTCTGTCGAGCCATTTAAAACAAAGATTATTAGGCTAACAAAATCAGCACAAATAGATAATGGAAAAATTGACTCATCACACAACTCCACTCTCCACTATGATCATATTACTCAGATCCATATTTATATAAATATATAATGACTGAGTAATAATCACTACATTAGTAAGTAGTAACCATATAATGCTATTCAATGGTGAGTTCTCCTAATATTTTGGCATGTTTATGACTGCAATTTGGATCGACATAAAAGTGAGTAAGCAAAACATCGAGTGTATTGTATTAAGTCCTCACACGTAGAGTCGTTTTCTCATGATTTTCCATTGCTTAGAACTGCTTGGGTAGTGATAAAACTGTACAACCAAATGGCATATCAGGAACTATTCTATTGACAATCATCCATGGTTGACCTAAAAAATCAGAAATAAATAAAAAGAAAAGAAGAGGTCAGTCATTTTCATTGAACCATAAGGATTAAAAAAAGTAAAGATCATGATCAAAGTCAATAATTGAAATATAATTCTCATGAGACCTCCTTGCATAGAATTTCATGTGTTGTTAACGTCGTCTTCGGACTTATGTCCATCATCTTTTTAATAAATCGATGGCAACATCTTCAATCACAAGACATAGTTCGAATTCACAGTAAAATATTTATAATCCTCTTTTCAGGCA